TACCGCAGTGAAACTGGGCCCGCTAATAATGTTTGGATATATATATATGTGTGTTTGTGTGTACACACTTGTGAATAGATAAGGAAATCTTAACAGTAATGTGACTGTTGACATGTGTTTGGGGAAGGCCAATGGGATATTGCACATGAGTTAGCTGATGCTAAAGAGTTAGCATAAATGTTAACCTTGCTGATGCACACGATGATGTTAGCTGATAGCCACAAACCCAGCCTCGGGGCACTAAGCTAGTGCGCTCCTAGCGCCACATAAACCCGTATAATTGGAGGGTTGTGTGAGGAAGAGCAGCAAATGAAACGAGAGTCTTTCTTCTTGAGCTGGTCTGTCCTGGAGGTCAGCTGAGTTACGAGGTGAAGCACCGTTAGTTGTGTTTGTTGTGTAGCGCTAACCTGTTTTAGGCCGTTTACTTGTGAACTCTGAATCCTTTTCTGTAATCTGGTTCATTTGATCTTCTTGACTTTTCTGTTTGAGCCAAACCAAAGTTGCAGGTTTGAAACCTGCCCTGGACTGCGGTCCAGATCAAACAGCTGATGATGTGTTTATGACATCTATTGTCTCTTTTAGCTGTTGTGAGTGTAAATTTCCTTGTGAGTAGGTTGATGGTTCAGTCACACTGGACAGCACGACTAGGAACAATTGGCGGACGGTCAGTGGTCATTTTTTCTGCTGGCGACTGACTGCAGGTAGTTACAGCAACTAACTGTTCACCCAGACGTTGTGAGAGATTCAGCCTCCGGGTGAATGCTTTCAGTCACGCGGTGACTGCACAGGTCACCTGACGGGACGCAACCTGTCTCCAAACAGTCGCGGTCTGACTCAGGCTGACTGCAGCCACAGTCTGATTATTGAATGCAGACATGTATCCTGAGTGACTGTGGGTGGTCACACACCTGGTCTTCAAAGCAACCATTCTAAATGTGGCTGAGCTGTGCTCTCCAGCCATTAGCGTTAGCAATGCTGGTGCAAGGAAGGAGAAACCTCGACGCCATGATGGCGAACAACAAATCAGGTTCAAAGTTTTGTGCCCAGACTCGGCAGCTCGCACTCAGGTGGGCTGGAGGGATTTGGTGAAAGTGGACTGTTTGACGTTGCACCT